AGGAAGGAAGGAAGGAAGGAAGGAAGGAAGGAAGGAAGGAAGGAAGGAAGGAAGGAAGGAAGGAAGGAATTAAAAGGCAAGCCAGTGAGTCTTTCTGAGTTTTAAAATTGCTTTTAATAAGGAATACCTCTGAAAAGGGAGTCCAGCGTCCAGCGTATGGGTTGGAAGTAGTCAATTCACTCACAAATATATCTCAATTCATATGGGATGATTAGAATTTTATCTTTAAAAATGATTTATAGAATTCTATCACTTACTCTTATGAGATTAATAGTTTTGAGGATCTGAACTAGGGTGATGTTGATTGTTCCAATCTCAAACTGTGGTTTAATTGTACCTGGCCCTGGTGGTATACAGTATAATCATGTAGATAAAAGGGGTTGCAGCGAAGTAATTTTATCTCATATCATATGAATTATTATTTTCTTCCTTTGTACCAAAAACAATATGATTTACTGAGCACAAAACACTTTATAATTGCTTTTAATTAAGTTGGTCTATGCATTAAAATAAATGAGGTAAAAGATAGTTGGGTAGTAGGGGAAGAGGGGAATCAGCCAATAAAAACTAACTCACACTTGCTTCTATAAAGTAATATGTAATTCTGACTTATAAAAATTCAAAGATTCAGCTGGTCTAAATTATTGATCATAATTGGGAAGGCAGCTAAATAGGTTTTGTGCTAGAAATTACAGTAACAAGATACTTGAGGTTGCCAATCAAGGTCTTAAGGAGAAAGCTTTTTCTTGATTTCTCAGGAACTAACGAATTAAAAAAAGCATTTAACTAAAGATCAAAAGGTGAATTTTGAGCAGAAGGAAAAATCAGAAAAGTTGTTTTCTAGTTCTTTCAAAAGGCATTCCTGATAACAAGAAAGGTTCACTGAAGAATAAAAAGTGAAGCAACTATAGCTTCTTTTCAAATGGAATAACTATGATTGAGCAAATGCTTACAGGTAGCAAGTTCTTCTTATATATAATAACTATTACAATCAAAATAATCCCATAAGACAGTGACTATTCAACATTTTGAAGATGGGGACACTTAGATTTCTACTACCACACAGCTGGTACAGAATAAAATTTGAAGAGGAAACTGTATAACTCCAAAGCCAGTTCTACTTTAGGATTGTCACTGCAAGTGCCAAGTCTGATTCCCTTGCTAGTGTCTGTTGAGAAGAATCCAAAGGCTTTATTCAGCCTCAGGAAGAAAGAAGTCTATGATTGATTTGCAATGTCTGCTTGAGCAAGAGAAAAGCAGGTGGTAACATGTGTAACATGTTTGCCATTCCTACTTACACTATGCTAGATCCTTTTATTCAAACATTATACTTTTAAGTAAACTAACTCAGAAAAAAGCCTAGCATAAAGTTTTATAATGTGGATGTCTTAAAAGAAGCATTTTCTAAGGAAATTCATAGCATAATGTGGGGACATTATTTTAAGTTACTGAAAATTAACAAAACTTTGTGTGCTTAATTAGAGATTCTCATTACAGCTTTCTTTAATCTTTTGGCTCTTAAGCCACTGTCGATCATGTTGCAAGTGGTTTTAGAAGTAGAACCATGGAACAATAAAACAAAGAGACCTCAGCGAACTGTGCAAGAGGATATTAAGAAAGCTATAACAGTTGAACTCCATTTTCTCAATAAACAAATATCTATGAGGCTATTCTGGTTAAATGGAGACAGGACTGACACATCAGCCTTCCTAATATTTTCCCAGTAAGCCCTTTTGAACCACTGGGTCGAATTTCGCCTGCTCTTTCAGACAAAGAAGCTGAGCTTCTGAAAAGTGAAATATTTGAAATAGAATTGGGTTGAAAGTTCTCATCCTCTAATTTACATTCTATACCAATTTAGAGATAAGGCATTTGACACCTGTTATTGGTGAGGCAGTGGTTATTTAAAAATGCAAAATGGGACCTGCCCCGTGATGCAACGGGTTAAAGCATAGCACTAAGAAGCTAAAGCCACTTCAACATGAGTTCAGTCCCCGCCCCGGAGGTGACTACATGGCACGGCAGACCTCTTCTGACCTGCCCACTGCTCCCCTCAGCAGTGTACTTCACCAGTCTGCCTGTTCCGCCCCCCACTCTGTCTCTGGTGAAGCCTCTCACCACACCTGCACCTCTGGCCTATACCCCAGTTCTGTATGCATAAATAAATAAATCTTTTAAAAAAATACAAAATGGTGCCCATCACTCTTTCCCTTTCTTTGTACCTCTAGTGTCTCCTCACTCTTGCCTGATTCTCTTTATTCCAATTCATGCAACATAGCTGGCACTGCTCCCCATATCTCAGCATAAGTTTCTGTCTCTGTTTCTGATTCACATGCAACTCTTCTGATAGTGGATATTTAAAGACTGATAAATAACACCATCTTCCAATTCTTGAACACTATCCTGCCTGAAACTGTGATTGCATTGAAATCTGATGCCCCTTGTGAATGCGACCAGATCTACATCAACTTGTAGTTTCAAAGGAAGATATTCTGATATTTTTATTTTCAATTATTATGCTATCTTCCCACTTGTGGATTCATATAAAATAGTAAAATACTCTTAGGAATAATATCTTAGTTTTGATTCTGCCTATTTATTTTTTACAAAGAATTTTAAGTTCATCTCAATAGAACTTAAAATTAAACAAAAGTACAAAATTCCACCATATAAAAATCATAAAATAAAATAAGTTAGACTCAAATTTTAGTCATTCAATCTCTAAGAAATGTGAAAAAAATTTGGTATATACTAATTATATTTTATAAATTTCTAATCCTCTCTGTTCCCTCCCAGTTCCCTATTCAAAAACTAAAACAGGAAAGTGTTCAGCTATGCCATTGACATCATATTGATATCATTTTTTAATTTGCTAAACACATTTGCAGTAAACTAAACACCTTTCCCACTGTTTCATGTCACTAATGTTGAAAGGAAAACCCTAAATTAAACAATCTTTCCCTGTGGACACAAAGATAAACCATGTCAGGCACTCATATTCCCTAACATCTACGATCTTGACCTGGATACTGACTTAGCAGATTATTATGGTCAAGGTACTAAAATAACGTTCCTTTACAAAGATTGTGTTTGTTCTTAGTTAGAGGCCATGGCTTCACAATAAGCCTTGTCTGCTAAGGACCCCTAATGTTTGTTTGAAAAGAGCAGGCTGTTCTTCTCCAACAAAAATATGCAAGCACAAGACTATTTCCTTTCCCAGGTCTGTGGGCGTGTGGATGGGCCCTGTCTGACCAGCATCCCTGTGGTCAGTTTGGCATTCCACAAGGAGTGACAAGACAGCTGGATTTCGAACTAAGCTTCTGAAATGTATTGGGATCAAAGCCGGCCTCACCACGAGGCAAGCAGGAGGGATTGCTCTCTGCCAGACTGGAGAAAAGTTGAGAGGTCTGTGGTCCACTAAAATAAAATAAAAAAAAAAGGAAAGAAAGAAAGGAAAAGGAAAGAAGGGCAGAGATCGTTCTACTTTAAGAAACAAATGGAAAAAATGTCTTTTTTTAAGAGCATGGAGTTGGATGTCAGACAGACCTGGCTGGGTTTAAGTCCCACCTCTGTTTCTTAGCAACTGTGTAAGCCTGGCATGACTCAGTTTCCACACTGCACAAATGAGAATAATGATTGTACTCACCCCCTGGAATTGCTGTGAAGAATAATAAATAAGACATTTACTTACTGCTAAAGTACTTGGCAGAGTACTTAGACATTCTCAGGTTAACCTAACTTGCAAACGCCCATGGCCACCATTGGTAACTCTGTTTTCCCTTATGACTTCAGTTAATATCAGTCACTTTGGCCCCAGTGATGCTCCATTCTGACCCTTTCTCCTCTAGTTAGGCATTCACTGCACCAGGGAGGTAAGATATGTGAAGTGAACCTCAACTCAACACTAGGAATTTTCTTAAAAGCATGCTTCTAGTTAGGTTTCTTTATCTTTGTTAACATGTTTTATATATATATAAAACATGTTATATCCATATATACACATATAGTTAGGTTTCTTTATCTTTTATATATAACATGTTAACAAAGATAAAGAAACCTAACTATATACACATATATATATGTTTGTATGTATGTATATATATGTATGTATATATATGTATGTATATATATGTGTATGTGTGTATATATCCCTGTGGTCAGCTTGGTATTCCACAAGGAGTGACAAGACAGCTGGATTAGGAACTAGGCCTCTGAAATGTATTGGGATCAAAGCCAGCCAGTGTTTTGTATGTGTGTGTGTGTGTGTGTGTATGTATGTATGTATGTATGTATATATATATATATATATATATATATATATATATATATATATATAGCTGTTCATTTTTGTACAATGTTTGCTTTCTCCTTTCAGGTGTAGTCCCCATAAAATTCCCACTACCAATTCACCTGTGCACTATCATCATAGTCCCTTGTGATCTTCCCTTCCCTGTTTTGGTTGCTCTCCCTCTTAATAACATTGAAGTTTGAAAACTTCAATTAAATAATGATAATGAATTGGAAAAAAGCCAATTAGGATATGATGTCATCAGTTGATCCAGCAGCAGCAGTAATGTATAATAGGTATATTCCAACAATTAAAGGAAGTTCTTTAAAATATATAGAATGAATTTTATGAAATTATGTTATCAGCATTTGACACCTATTATGTCGTTTGATCTTCACATTATACTATGAGAGAGGATACCTGTGATCATCACAGTTGAGAAAACTGAGACTTAGATCATTTAGTTAATAAGTTCAGGGTTGCTTATACAGCAACTAGATTAAACATGAGTTTAGAGCCCAATCTTTTGCCCCTTCAATGTACTGTTTGTTTCCATGTGATATGAAGTAGAGTTTCATCCAACAACCAGAACTACAAAGGGATTATTTTCTTTTAAAGCAAACATCTGTTCTATGTATTAAATATTATCAAGAGGTTCTACAGAAGCATGTGAGCTCCAAGTTTGCAAGGACTTTGCTTCCTCATCAAGTTTCAGTTGGATAACTCACCCCAACAAATTTCCTAAGAAATTCCCGAGAGGCCTGGATATCTGGGTTGGACAGTTCAATGAAATTTCCCATCATACCCTCTTCTGTGGCTGGTACTTCTTGGTAGAAAAGTTTTGCTCTGGCATAGAACTGCATCTCGCCATTGATGACTTGACTTGTTAAAGCATACAGTTTCACTGAAAATGAAATATTATTAACTTATATTAATATTCATGGAACAAGCTCAATCTTATCATACATTGTATTTTCTCTTGGAAACCTACAAATTTGTGCTGTGGAGGGAAGTGTACTTGTTTCAACTCAGAAGATCTGAGTTTAAATTTGACTTTAACTTGCTATGTAAACTTGGGTAAACTTCTTTATCCAGTTTATTTTGGGGGATCTTATTTATGAATTACAAACATGTGACATTTTAACAATTGAATAATCCTATAGCTTTAATAAACCTATAACTTATTACTGTATTTCTTTAAAAATTAAGTATTTTCAATAATTTTTTTAAAAATACCACTAATTTTATAGTGAGTTTTATCTGTGAGTTTCATGTTTGATATGAATTTAACCATTCATTTTTACTTCTAATTGAAGGCAGTTTACAAGCTACTTATACCCAAATGTATTTTTATACCAGCTTTACAGATATGTGCTTGAACTCTACATTCTGAAAATACAATAATAAAAAAAACAGAAAGTTTATTGAACACCTATCTTTTATTATATAGCATGCAAGGCACATTGACATATACATATCATTTAATTACTTCAGAAACTATACGAGGTATAGTTTAAGACATTTATTTCTAGAAAAGCATGTGTTCCAAAATCTAAGGGATAAATGAGTAAGCATTTAAGTATATTTGGTAAGCAAAAATACTCCCTTGCAGAAAGAGCATGTTTTTATTGGAAACATTTTCAGGAAGTAATGATAGAAAATAGATGAAAGGGAGGAACTTATGGTTCAAAATTATAAGCTGATGCATATATTTGAATTCTCTCCTTCACAACATATGCCAAATATTACCCCCAATAAACTTATTACATGACACTGAAGAAAACAAGAAGAAACCATTGATGGATTCATGATTTCACCATGAAATCCTGCTGGTCTGTCTACAGACCACCAGTGAGAAGACAAAAGCATCCTTCCAAAAGGAACAGAGATATCACATTTATAATGGTGATGGAAGAGAGAAGGTGGTTCCTCTTTTTCAATAAGTTAATAAATACATACATACATGTTTAGGAAAAAAATAGGACAGTTTGTCAGGTTCCTAGGACTCTATTTGGTTTGGCTTTTTAGAACTCAAAACAACTTACCTGTTGACGGCCATGAGAATCTGGGAAAATCTACCTACAAATACAGAGATTATTTTGATCCTTTCTTTTTTAGGGGATAATTATATAGCAGAGAAACTTCCACTATACAGGTCATTGACTACGGATAAGCAATGATTTCTAAAACATGCGGCTAAGCTGGCAACCTAGAAAAAAATAATAAACAATCAGAACTGACCAAAACAGAAATAGAAGTGATTCAGGAAATGGATGAGAATTTAAACCAAAACCAAACAAAAAAAATTCATATATAAGTACACAAGATTTTGTGTATTCATGAGTCAGAGATAAGATGCCAACAAAAAATTTTTTTAAAAAACTAACACAGACTTCTTATAACTTAAAGTTTTAATTCCCAAAACTCTGGAAAACCACACTGAGTAAATTTAATAGGACACAAACAATAAGATAGATATGAAGAACAAGAGTAAAAGTAATAAAGTTGCAAAATCTAATTCAGGAGTGATATTCTAAGGAAATATTTGCTTAAAACAAAATATCCGGCCAAAGAAAAATGATATGGATATGAAAAAAGCTAATGTCTGACACAATGTTGAGTGACAGGAGTAATAGGAAACAGAATAGAAACATTTTTCTTTAGTTTAACACAAAGATTGTGAAATAGGATTAATTCACTATTTTACTGTGAACTGAATGACTCATATTTTGATTGCAAGTACTAAAGATCCAATATGTATTAAAATTATGTTCTTTATATGGAGTTAGAGCAGTATTTTCCAATTCAAAGACATTGGAGCCAATATTTGGGCCCCTGAATGATTATGCATCTGATTAAATAAATAAATGCAGAAATCAGTTCTCATGTACATCATTTTCTAGAACACTTGCAATATTATATCTATATAATCCATATATGTCAACTACTTAGATAGTTATTTTTAAAATAAAAGTTTTTAAAGTGTTAAAAATTGCATGGGTGATTTTTTTTACTACTTAATACACAAATAAGGCAGTGAATGAGAAAATCAAATAATAAAAGGAGAGTCCTTATATTAAAAAATATTGAGAAAAAAATGGGAACCATGAACCTACACCAATGTCTCCTACTTAGCACTTAGTTCAGTGTTGTGTCAACAGTAGGTGGCTCAACTGATGTTTCAAAATCCAATAAGAATGATAAAATAAATCACCATTCCAATAACATAACTCTTCCAACTTCTTACGTATCAGAAAACTAAGGTACGAAATTACAACTCATAGAGCCTCCCCAGAGTTGAATGCTGCCTGGGATCACAAGCAAGTCACAGTCCAAAGCTCTCCTTGATCTATCCAAAGCAGCAAAGCAGCCACACTCATCATCACCTGCTTAAGTCAACTAGTTGGTGGAGTCTATTAAAACCCTTAATCTGGAAATGGGAACGGTCCATTATGCCAGTAACATTTAGTCTACAAGTGAATGCCAAACTCAGTAGGGGGCAGACTCAATAGGTAGGTTTTTATGGTTATGGGTTTGAGTCCTCATTTTCACCTAATTGACAGGAGCATTTCACTAAAAAGATATATGAGGTGTGATGGCCAGCCCCACATTCTCCCCTCCTGATAGCTCCTACACTGGTGAAAGTTGCCTCAGATAAGGTTCAAGAGTCACTCCATGCTTTTTATTATAGAAATATATCCAGTGGTTCATAGTAGGATTGCAATATCTTTGTGAAACTTGGTGTAGTTTAAGATGGAGAGTAGATATTCTATTTGCTCTTGATAAGACATGGTACTTACCTCAGGACCTACATTATGAACTGAACTCCCAAGGACTTTCCAGTGGTTTAGTTGGTAACAATGTGAGAAATACAAGTTCATTTTCCCTGAAGAAGAAAGACCTTGTGAACTAGGAAAATAAAATATTAATTTCTTATGTTTGTTATCTCCTATTTCTTCATATTTTTTAAAAAAGATTTATTTATTTGTGCATACAGAACTGGGGTACAGGCCAGAGACTCAGGGATAACAAAAGACTTCACCAGAGACAGAGTGGGGAGCAGAACAGGCAGATCGATGAAGTACACTGCTGAGGGGAGCAGCGGGCCGGTAAGGAGAGTCTGCCGCACCATGTGGACACGTCCGGGGCAGGCGGGAATTGAACTCATGTGGAAGTGGTTTCAGCTTCTTAGTGCAGTGCTTTAACCCGCTGGGCCACCAGGGAGGGCCTATTTCTTCATATTTTTAAATGAATAGATATGTTAGCCTCATTATACAAGATATTGTATCAACTGAAAATTTATCTAAAAATCTTTAGAGGATTAAATAGATTAGGTCTAGACAGTAAGTAAGAAGAGATTTGAGACTGAGAATCTTGGAACATTGGATTCAATAAAACTTTTATTTCTGTAGAAAAAAAACAATTAGGAGATGCCCTTTACGAAGGGTGAGATCTATAAAATATATTTGCAGGTGAGCACTTCCCAATTTGATCATAAAAGAAATAGTGATAAACAAAGTAGAAAGGGAGAGGAGGTAGGAAAGAAAAAAAAAACTATACAGATACAATTAAATATTATTCAGCCATTAAAAAGAAGTGCCACTTATGACAAGGGTAGATCTTAAGGGCATCATGAAATGTCTTTAAGTGTAAGTGAAATAAGTCACAAAGACAAACATGATATAATCTTACTAACGTGGTATAAAAGAACTTCAAATTCACATTTTACACCAATACAAATTCATTTATCAACGTTTCTAGTGGAAATCAACAGTTGTAACGTGGTGCTAAAAAGGTGCCATTACCAATTCTCAGACTTGCCTGGAGAATATCTCTAAACTATATTTGTTTCTGTATCTTTAGGTGTCTGACATTTCTACCTCCCAATATATTGCCTACCCTGAAAGTTTTAGGGGGCTTTTACTTTTTCAACTGATGGCAAGTTCAGTTATCCTAACTTCTTTTCAGGTTTCAAAACAAGTGAGATAACCAAAGGTGGGGAGGTAGGATAAACTTTTCTCACACCAGCAAGCTATTTACTCAAGCTACCACACCTCACACACCTGATTTGGGATAGAGCCTTCCTAACAATCTATTCCTTTTTTGGGTGCACTACCATACCCACTCAAAGATTTTTAAAAGCCAGAAGACAGGTAGAATACTAGGACAGATTTTTTAGGTGTGAACTTGCATCTTGGAATCATTCAGCAGTCTCATGCTCCTCTGCAATTCTTCCATATTCCACATAAAAATACCTGTGTGCTTATTTCATTGTTTATCTCAATAGAAAGCCACTACTCTCTATAGACTAATCTTCTATTCCTACCAAATCAGCAAAATATGGTAAAGCTTATATTTCTACCTGCATTAGTCAAATTGCCATTTACATCAGGAGACAGTACCAGGTGTAGTTTAAAAAGACAGATGCTAGAGTTAAAGACTGGCTGGGTTCTAAGCTACCTCCAACAACAACTTCCACATGATCTCTTGCAAGTTACTTAAATCTGCTCTGCATCAGTTCTTTGGAGATAAGGTGGGGACAATAATAGCCACACCTAAAATGGTTTATGAAGATTAACTGAATAATATATGTACAACACTAAGAATAGTCATAAATTCTCCCCGTTTCTCCCTAAAGAGCTGTTGTGTTCAGTGGCAAGATAAGTATTCCATTGAAGATTTTTAGTATGCATGCCCTTGCTCCCCCACAAATCTTTGAAACTAGCCAGGGATATTTCAGTAAATTTCCCCCTAACTCAATGTCTCTGAATAATGAGCTAGTGTGAGTTTAATGCTACCAATGTAAGCAGTTGGAGGGAGGAAAAAAGGAAAGAGATGGAACTGAACTTGGTTAGCCACATTATTCTCAAAATCACCCCAAACAACAGACAATTTGTGCAGGTCCTGCAGTGGCGGTTCCACAACCCTTTTGAAAGAAAGGCTTTATTTTCATTTCTGTGAAATCTTGAAATCATCAAGAGTACGGGAGCCAATTCTAAAACACCTCTGTGAAGCTTGCTAGGGAGGACTGGCTGTTTTATTTCCTAACTTAAAACATTACTATCAACTGCAGTTCAAAAATGCCAGCTAGTGAATTAAGCTTATTTATTGCCTATTTTCAGGAAGGCTAATGGTGACTTTAGAAGGGGACTCACTCACAGTAAGGTAAAGAACTGACTGTTTCACATATGCAATTGTATTTAACTCTACATATAGTCCTGCAGTTTTTGAGGAAAATGATCCTCGGAGTTTTAATAATTAACTCAGTTTACTGTTCTACTAGTAGCAGGGCCAGAATTTCAGCTCAGGATTTTGGTGATCTGATTTACTTATTTATAAGGGACCATTTGAAATTTTTAGTAGGTATTCATTGAGTTCTTTCTATATGCAAGGGATCATAGTAAATACTAATCCATATATAGAGAAGAAGAGGTAGATTAATTTCTACTTTCATGGAAATGAGTTGAGTATGGAGTTAGCATATGTAAATGAATTCCATAGAAATAAATTTTAATCTGCAAAAACTAAGGATTAAGCAACATAACCAAGGGTTTGGGGAAGCCCTCTGATTATACTAAAGTCAAATTGGCAGACAAGAGATTTATGCTGTTCATTGAAGTAACTTGTAGTCTAGTAGAGATGCTTCACTGCTATCTTGAAAAGAAAAAGCTGGAGGAAAAAAACTAAGTATTTTCACAGTTAATAGTCTGTTTTTCTTATATGCTTAATTTAATACTTTGAGTATTAATAAAAAGTTTTTTGTTGTTCACCATCAGATTGTAGACTTTAGAAGAATATAGGCTTATTAATGCTTGAAACTCCACCAAAGATAAAACAAATAGTTGTTTAAAAAAAAACTATTTAAGTTATAAATCTATATATGTCTTTTGTATTGAAAAAAAAGAACTTATTGGCATTTCTGTCTCTAAAGAACAATGTTTTTCCCTGGTGGAAACAATACTGACCAAATATTTACATATTCCTTCACATTACCCAGCATCCTTGCAGTTAGCTATCGCCACATGAACAGATGTTAAGCAGACAAAATCAGTGCACTTTTGGGACAAAATAATAAAAATTTGGTAGGTAAATATTTAGTTCCTCTTTTCCCTTGACATAGTGTATAGCAATGTTCCAGTTAACAGAATCTCTATTATCCTAGATTCCTGAATGGTCATATGGAATAAAGTCCTTACTCCCATCAAGTACGCATATAGAAATAATATAGCAAGACAAAAAATAAGTTTTTATAGATTTGTCCATTGAGATTTCAGGATTAATTTGTTATTACTGGATAATCTAGTTTATGCTGACTCATTTAACCTATGATTGCTAATAATAACAATAATAATGTACATGTGATTAGCTCTATAATTCTCAAGGGAAAAATCACCTGAACTAAACCATCAAAGAAAATAAGCGGTACTCTTTTATGGAAAACCGCTACTAAGAAAAATGGAATCATTTTGGCTGAAAATGGACGAGTGGTTTTCAAAATTTGTTTATGGTACCCTATAGGTACTTCAGAAATATCTCAAGTATTTTTGACAAGGCTAAGATGGTAGAGTAATGAAAAGACATTGTCTTCCCCCCACCCCTTAGTAAGAAAGATTCACATTGGGTTTCCTTAGAATGGCTTCTCAAAGGGATGGCATTTTGTAATAATGTTCTTTAAAGGAAAAATATTGACAAATCATCAATACATTCACAAAAAACATTAACAGATAAAATCAAAATGACTACACTGAAAAAAGAAAAAGACTCAGGTCAAATATACATTACAGTAATCGTCCCTCAAATTAATTTATATCTGCTTTTCAGAAGAAACCACCCTATTCTTTTTAATTCATCAGCAGCTACTTTTAGAGCTGAGGTCCTTTTCTCTCTAGTAATTATTTTAAAATTTGGCAATGATCTGCCACTCAGTGAGTCTCTTACCAGCTAGTTACTTTTAGTTACTGTCTTATCAAGTTACTGTTACTGTGATGTAGCCCAAAGAATGTCTCTAGGAAAGCGATGCTCTGCCAATGTATGGAGTGACCAGAATGCCATTACTTTCAAATGGATCATTCCAATTTTCCCATGTGGAAAAAGACAAGATGCATAATGTGTCTTAAAGGAATGACTTATGAGCATTGTGACTGACAGAGTCAGTCCTGGCCTTGGTATCTAGATGAGATATATCTAAATTAGATCTCATAGACTCTGAACTACCTTTTGCTCATTTGAAAAAATAAAAAAATACGTATGGGAAGATAAGAGGAGAAATCTTGACACTCTATTTCACAATGTGGTTCTAAGAATCAAAGTCATAACTGAGAAGTTTTTCATATAGATATGAAAATATTTGTATGTCTAGAATTGAGGGCATAAAAAGAAAACTGAGTAGACCTCTAATTTATAATATCTTAAATGCAGTACAAAGGATTATGTAGCTCCTTCCTCATCTGAAAACTTTGGGACATCAAGTGCACTCTGCAGCTTTCACACAGTCATAAAAAAATGCACTAGGGCCGATAGACACTGTTTCTGCTTTCATTGGGAGAAAATATAAATCAAAGGGAGCTATTTCACTCTTTAATCACAAGTTATTTCCTTTTTTCAGTACTACTAAATGTGCCCTAAAATAATACTTTCACAGCGGAGAAACATATTGTAGACAAATCTGATAAGTTTTGTATTGCTCTATTGTCTAATTTCGTGAAAGCTAGAGGAAATAACTGAAATGGAGACAGACTACTGCATGAACTTTTTCTTAACATTCAAAGACCAAATTGTAATAATTTTCACCTTTTAGGCTCTTTCACTGTTATCTGTGACTCAAGAATGTCACACAAGACTATACATTGTGTGATCATACTCACACATGCACAAACACAAAACAGGACACCTTGACCTGCTATTTGTCTTTTTTTAACTCCAAGTTTTTATACTACTGCATTAAGTACTCTCACTTTATTACCTCTATGTTTTTGCAAATATTACAAAAGTCCTTCAAGTTTAAGCAGTAAGTTTCTGTAAGCCTGTTGCTCAAGCCACCCATACTCAGAGAAGCAAATCACTGTGCCTGAGGGTACATGAAAGCCCCAAAGCACTTGTCCTTGACACATTCCATAAAATGGGATAAGGAAACATGCATGCCCAAAGACTTGGTTGTAGGTTCTTTTTCTCTGAAAAGTGTCCTTGTTCTAAAAGGCCCTTTTCCAAAAGTCCCACATCCACATACAGTCCTTTCAGTCATTTCTTTCCCCTAATCTATTGATAGTAGCTCTGACTCACTTACCCAGAGGAATTTTTTCCAGCAGGTAGAGATAGCTTTGAAAGAAGTCATTGCGAATGGCTTTGTGAAGGATAAAGGACATGCTATGTCGACAGAGTTCATTGTCTGTCTTCTGCCAGCGAGATCTAAAGGCAAAATGGGCTCCCAGGTGGGCCATGGTGAGGGCACAATTATTCCTATGGAGAAAGGACACTTGCCTGACTGTTCCTTTGAATTCGCCTTCTCTTCCTACAAGAACTTGAGACTGTCATTTTAAACCAGTTCCCTGTCCATCTATATCAGGAGAGACTGTCATGGGGCCCTGTGGGAGGGATAGCCAACACGGAGGTCAGGCTCTTGGCATGTTCATGGTCTGATTGCTTGGGCGACACCACTCCAAGCCAGCAGGTGCTAAGTAAAGACGAAAACAGGCTGTGTGAGATCCTGCTTCATCCAGGAGAAAGCACGCCTCCCTCCTTTCACTGCTTCTTCAAATAAGCAGTCACACAGCCTGCTAACACCCTGAATATTTACCCTAATTTGATTCCTAAATTGGAATAGCCTGATTTCCATTTCAAAGAGTTGTGAATATTTTGCAAGAGATCCTGTTCCCTGATTTCCATCACTCATCCTGGAACACTGAATCCTCAAATTACAAGGACCCTTCAAAGTCATCTTCTGATCCACACTCCTTTCATCAGTACAATTTTGACCAAATCATATTGCAGAGATGGATATGTGTTTCCCATTTCGAAGGATCTTCAAGAGACACAATTATATGACAGCCCAAATCTTATGTTAATACCTTTCTCCACAGAAAACTCTCCCACCTAGCTTGCTTTAAACATTTATTCATGCATCGCTGTTTCTTTCTCTCTGTCTGTCATGAATATGATTTATCATCCTCTGGTTCCTCTATTGGATGTCTTTGACTTGTCCCTCCTGGTCATTCTCTACTATGTACCCAAGAGTCAGACAACATCAGTGGACTTTCTTGCTATCTGACTTCTAGTCGGATTCAGCCAATGGGTATGTTGAGTTCTTATGGATCTTCCTCTTAGGAACATTAGAAGAGGGAAGAGGGTAGTCCTGATCTCTGCAGGAAACAGGGAATTCATTAATTATGATCTTCCCACCTTAAGGAGAGCTATTTAACTCCAGTGGTATTATTGTCCCATTCCTTATTTCAACAACTGCTCAGGTTGCAACCTGAGCTTTTTGTGCCCCTTGACATGATGTGGGGCTTATGGATGGGCACATGATGCTCTCTCAGCTCCAGCTTTCATTTGGAGTAGACACATTTTCTCAATTTGTTATCCCTAGTGCCAGCTTGTGTTGGGTTCTTATGCTAGTAACATGAAGGTTTACAGAACATAGATGCCATCCTGCCTCACCTTTACTTAATAAATTCTCACATGGATGCAGATAGAGTTGACAATACCAAGCAGAACAGGAAAACCTCTATGAAAATATTTCACAGTGTTAAGAAAGAAGTCTTTTTTTTTAAAAGATTTATTTATTTATTCATACAGAACTGGGGTACAGGCCAGAGATGCGGAGGGTGAGAGGATTCACCAGAGACAGAGTGGGGAGCAGAACAGGCTGACTGATGAAGTACACAGCTGAGGGGAGCGGCGGGCAGGCCAGGGGAGGTCTGCCTCGCCATGTGGATCTCCTCCGGGGCAGGCGGGGATCGAACTCATGCGGAAGTGGCTTAAGCTTCTCAGTGCTATGCTTTAACCTGCTGCGCCACCAGGGAGGGCCAAGAAAGAAGTCTTTTAAATGGAATTAAACAGATGTAACTGAATTAGAAACTGATTTTTACCACTTATATTGAAGCAAACTTGACAAAGTCTTAGTCTCCTGAATCTTATTTTACTTTTCTGAAATATGAAGATGATGAGGATAAGATATACCTTTTCATGATGGTTATGAAGAAATACTCAATGTAGACCACCACAGTTCCTCACATAGAATAAGACTCAAAAAGTGCTAAATATTCTCAGTATAATCACTGTGAAAAATTTGATCCTAAAGGTACATTAGGTCTATCTGGCTTTTCTTAGGGGTGTTACATTCTCTCTTACCATAAATTTTACCACCTATCCATGAGATGTTTTGTGCTCAATATACTTAAGAGTTGAAAAGAAAAGCAATCTAAATGAAGTGTGCTTTGAGATCTCATTCATCTACCCATCAGAATTTTCTGTGGCTGTCAGGAAAACTAAACTACAGAGGAGGAAAATTTTCTTATTTGTATCCATCAATATATCTAATAGGAGACAGGATCTTAACTCCAACATCTTAGCAATGTTTTGATAACCTCTCCAATGTTGAAAAGGTCAAATGCTTGTTCCCAGGAGAGAGACTGGCAATAGCTGACTCTAGCTACTCTGTATCCCTTATTTGGAAATTGATATTGGTAAGTTTCTCAGTTTTTACAAAATAATCATCTTTCACTATAAAATGGGCATTAGTTATTTATGTTTGGAAAAAAAATTATTAAGTGTTCTGAGATCTTTATATTTCAGTTCCATAGTTCCTGGGTGGAGATGAAAGACAGATTGGCTTATACAAAATGCCTTTGTCAGCTTTTGTTTATCTCAGTGGGTCACATTAGATTTTGTGACTATTTCTCATATTGGTCTAGCTTGCATCAGTTTCTGGCTCATTGCATTTGTTTCCATATTGGAATAATTTTTCATTCACAGCTGAAATGCTCTATTTGCTACCACCTCATACTACTCTTGACTATGTTCAGAGTGAGTGAGTGAGGGCATGAGTGAGACCTCATGTCTACCACAGGCATCCAATTTCCAGGCAGGAAAGGAAAACAATGAGTGTAGAGGAAAGAATATGACCACAGCCAGAGAAGATGGAAACTCTGAGTTTATCCATATTGGTTTGTTTACTAAGAGGAGATACTTTGGTGAAGAGTAAAGTGCTGCAAAACAATACATTAGCATGAGAAAGTCTCAGAAGTAAGAAAGATAAAGAAAGAAAACAACTACATAAAAAGAACAAACTGTATACAATATTGTGTTAGACTCAGCATTTGGCAAAATCTACTCAATAGGAAACACCTATCAAATTGTAATTCCATAATAGTTTAAACAGAAAATTCAACAGAGATAGTAAAATAAAAACATTTTAGACAAAAATAGAAATTGTCACCCATAAATGAAACTGATTTTTAAAATCTATTTCAGGAAGAATGAAATTAAGAGAGTGTGAAAGTATTACAATAGAGAAAAGATATTTTCAGTAATAGCCTTGATTATGCACAATTGTGTTCTTACCACTCTCTTACTTTTCTACTCTCATTTATTTTCCTGTACTTTTGTCTAAGAAAAGATTTGTGTATGAAAAAATTGTGGTTTAGTGTAGGAAAACATTTTTTGATACCAGGGTAAAAAAAAATCATTTTCTAATGCAAAAATAGAGAAAGAAAAAGTATTAGTTTTACTAACTTAATATTGTAATCATGAACTTTTTGTCATCAAAAAAAATCACAGTGAAATTAGAAATCAATTATCAATAAAAAATTTGCATACTAAATGAATGGTTTTATAAATAAATAATAATAATAATGCAATCCTATAATATAATAGAAAAAAGGCAATAACATATTTCAAAGAAAAGTAAGTACAAATGCCAGTTAAGCATTTTTTAAAATGTTCAACTCACTAATAATCTAAAATATGAAAATTTTAAACATAATAAGAAGTATCACTGGTTTAGCAAAAATTAAGGTCTGCTAATGGTACGGGTCAGGAATAGCAAAAAAATACACATTGTAAACTGTGCATTTTAGCAAACACTAATGTGAATATTTGCAACAACAATTTTAGGAGTTTACTTTCAGTAGTGATGTCTATACCCTTGACAAATAGCTTACTCCTAGGCATATACCCTGAAACATTTCTGAAAATTTATTGCATTAATTTGTTTTTTTTGATTATTGAATTGTATACTTAAAATGGGTAAATTTTAACATAGATATGTAACTATACCTCAATAAAATTATTTTAAAATGCATTAAAATATATATGTCCCAATGGCATATACAAAAGCAATTGGAGTTAATGAAAGCCAATATCTTTACAATATATGAATAGTAGAATCTGAAATACTTATCAAGCATGTTTAGATATTATTGTGGAGAGATGTTATCATTTTGGGCAATAAATTATGATTTGGTTTTTAAATATTAAGAAAACTAGTATATTATTCTATCTCCAGTATCTTTATAGATAAGCTTCTATCTTGCTTAAAACTAACTCAATATTTTCATTAATTCTCTTAAGAACATAGAGAATACATATATTTTATTCTCTATAAAGAGAGTAATATAGAGAGAATTAGTAGCTACAACAAAGATGAAAATTGGATTGTCCAATCTCCACCCAAGGAGATAGACTTAGAAGGCAAAAATAACAGGCCAAATCAATAAAAATAAATTTAGGATAAAATCATCAATATATAGTGTTGTATATATATTTTAATAAAAATTAATGATGGGAACACAATGGCTCTGGCAGCAGACTATGGGTAGTAGACTATGGGCATTTGGTGGTAGGAACACAAAAGTAACTACACTTGAAGTAGGGGATCTTACTTCTAAAATTCCAGCAACAATGTAAACCAACATCACTTCAATAAAAGAAAAATTTATGGTGAGAATACAGAATGAATAATTCTTGGTTGATAAACTCTACTCTTGTGTTAACAAGGTAGGCTTTAGGTTTAGGGTAACAGAACAATACAAAAGAGTACAAGGAGGCTTCACTGGGTTATATAAACCAGCAGCCTCACCTTACCATACACTGGTCCATCCCCAGAGATTGCTTATCTCTTTCTTTTTCCTACTTTGTTTAAGAAACAAGAACCCAATCACCTCTGATTAAAAGTTGGAAGCCATTAACATCTGTATGTTTAGAATATATGGTCCAAGAAGTTGAGATGACTGTTTTGGCTCACCGTAGTGCTATGGTGTACAAAAAGGTTGTCTGTTGGATATATGAACCCATCATATTCAAGGTTGGCAACTAGGTTTCAACTTAATAGTCATTGATAAATGAAAATGGACCTTGAGGTAAATGACCCTTCATAGCTAAGAAATGTTTAAACCTATAATTGTCAAGTTAAGTCATCAGTCTAAAGGACAGAAAGACTACAGTGGCCCTTGAGGAATTCAATTCTGTCTTACTGAGAAAAATCCAATTTGG